GAGAAATCTGTCAATGGGAGGTAGAGTATCCCTCATTAACTCGCTTTTAGCTAACTTGCCTACTCATTACTTAGCTTTCTTCAAGGCTCCCAAGAAAATCGTGAACGATATTATTGCAATCCAACGGTGTTTTCTCTGGGCTGGGAATTCTAGTAAAAAGTTTATCTCTTGGATATCTTGGAACTCCATCTGTAAGCCGAAGGAATACAAAGGTCTTGGTATTAAACAAGTAGGTCGTTTTAATTGTGCTCTTATAGCAAAATAGCTGTGGAGATTTCAAAGCGGTGGAAATGAAATTTGGAGAAAGACGCTGAATCTCAAATATGGTAACTTGAGCATGAAGGTGCAAACTTTCGCCGATGTCGGTAGCTTGAAATTTGACTCTCTTTGGATGAAGGATATTATTTCAAGTTCAACCTGAAACTTCAATGTGGGTTTCTCCAAGTTTACGGCTTGCACTATTGGAGAAGGTCACAATACGGTGTTTTGGCAATCTAAGTGGATTGGAGATTTACCGCTTAAAAGTAGGTTTCAGCGGCTGTTTCAGGCCTGTTCCAGGAAAGTTTCGACAGTCAACGAGATGGGAAATTGGAAGGATGGTCAGTGGGTATGGAAATTTAGAGAATTGTTTATAGATGAGGGATCCAATTTTGAACCAGAAAGGTCAGAGTGTAGTGATTTGTTGGATCAGGTGGCAGCCAACATCAATGTCGCCGATAATTGGAAATGGCTTCTTCATGATTCTCTTTCGTATAAGGTTAGCTCTTTCTATACTGTTTTATCCTCTTCCTCTTCTGCTTTTGTTCACATTATTGGAAATGATAGTGCTACTCTTTTGGAGATCCTTTGGAAAACGATGTTACCGGCAAAAGTCCAAACTTTTATTTGGAGGTTGGGGCTTGATAGGCTGCCTACTAGATATAATTTGATGAAAAGAAGGGTGATTGATTACTCCCAAAATTCGGATTGTGCATTCTGTTCGTCAAGCTACGAGGACGTTTCACATCTTTTCTTCTCATGCTCTAAATCTTCGTTGGTGTGGAATAAGATTTGCGACTGGGTGGATATAGAGAACATCTCAGAGGATTGTTGTAGCCTTCATGCAAAGGTCTAGAAATTGAGACTTCTAGGCCGTTGCAAAGAGAACAAGACCAACTCAATTTGGTTCATTTCTTGCTTGAGTTTATGGAGGGCTAGAAATAACAGTATTTTTAGTAATGTATCCATTGATGTTGAGGACATTGTTTCCGATATTAAAGTTATTTCGTGGAATTGGTTGATATTAGGTAGACAGGATAATAATCATTGTAGCTTATATGATTGGTTTAAATTCCCGTTTGATTTTATGTAACAGGCTTGTATTAGGTTCTGTTTGTACTCTTGTTTTTCAGAGATTTTCATAATCTCTTTAATATATTCTTGCTTATAAAAAAAATTATTTTTCCTATTCTTTATAAGAAAGCTATTATTTTTTTATTTTAAATATATAGTAGTGGAGGCGTTCCATGCTACTAACGCTAATAGTCTTGAAAATAAATAGAAAAGATTAATTTTTGTTTTCAGATATTCATATTCAATTATTTTAGTATTGTTTAAAAGAAAAATACTTACATGAAAACGTACATAAATTTATATTTTTAGGCACATCAAATAAGAAGAGAAAAAATTTTAAATTTTTTTTAAATTTGGATTCATAGGGTGGTTGTGATTATAAAAGAGAGAAAAAAATTTTATTTTTATTTTTTAATTAATATAAAAATTGTGATTGATTGTGTGTAAAACTATTTGTTTTATTTGCATCTACCTAAGAATTTTCTTGTTAAATTATAATTTGAATCAAATATTTAGTATAAAATATTAATAACTTCTCTTAAAAGAGCACAAATATACACATACAAGTGAGTACAATTTAAAAAATAAATGAAACAAATAGGCATATGAGTGTCTCATGTCCGTCAATACGCTAGTATATATAAGTCAAATAAATTTTATATTTAATTTTTCAGAGATTTGTGTAATTAAATATTAAAGAAATATATTTTATCTCACACACACGCACGCACGCGCGCACACACACACACACACACATATATAACTTATGTTTATATTTAATATTTAATAAAACAAATCATATTAGCGTATAGACGAACATAGGCGGACATGAAGATAGAGCATTAAAATAGTTTATATAGAGTGATATCCCTCACCTTACCAACCGGTTTTGTAAGGTTGTGTTAGGTCAAACTCTAATATGGTATCGGAGCCTATCAATCGGACCTTAGATAACCCACCGTTTAAAATCCACGTATCAAGCCTAAAAAGAGTGTTGGACGTGAGGAGATGTGTTAGGAAGACCCTAAAGTCCCACACTGGTTGGAGATAGAGCATTGAAATAGTTTATATAGAGTGACACCATTCACCTTATCAACCGGTTTTGTAAGGTTGTGTTAGGCCAAACTCCAATAAATAACACACTCATAAGACAAATCATATTTTATCACATATGTATTTTTATCTCCTATCACACATATATATATATATATATATATATATATATATATATATATATATATATATATATATATATATATATATATATATATATATATATATATATATATATATATATATATATATATATATATATATATATATATATATATATATATATATATATATATATTTTATCTCTTCTCACTAATATTGTCTTGATGTGAGTGATGTGTGAATTTAACAAAAGTTTATTTTATTTTATTTTTGTTGCAATTTCTCATTTTCTCTTAATGAATCATTGAAACTAACTTTATAATTTAATAAAAATTAATTTCAATTTTAATGTATTTGTTTATATGAAGGCTTTACAGTAGTTTTGTAATCTGAGTTCATCGAAAATATTTGCAATTAAACAAAACACTAGCATTATAACATGTTTATTTTTATTATTCTTATATCCCATTTGTAGTATACACTCTAATTTCATAAAGCAATAAATTCAAGATTCAATTTAGTGTAGAGTGTCATGTGTCATTGTGATAACAAATAAGGCCCCACTTACACCCATTTTAAAAATGAAACACTAAAACGTTCAACATGTTGTTATTTACGTCATCTACTACAATTTCCTCAATGCAACATAGTTCACTCTACTATGTTCCGTAACACAACTCATTTTCGTCCTTGTTTCGACTCATTTTCTCCTTCCAATGCAAACTTATACAAAATGGTTGTGTGTGAATTCTTCCATAGTTAAAATGAGCGTCTCATGTTGTTCTAGTACGTGAGCTCTTTCGTACAACCACAACAACACTATTACTTTATAATTACGCATTTCCTTTTAATGAATTTATCAGAACTAACCAAATATGCCCTATACTGCAATTTTCTCAACACAACATAGTTCACTCTTCTATATCCATCACCATAAATCATTTTCTCCATGGTTTCATCTCATTTGTTTCTGCGAACACGAGTTTATACAAAATGTTTGTGTGTAAATTCTTCCATAATCATAGTGGCCTTGTCCTAGTTTATTGTTGTCCTAGTATGCGAGCTCTTTTGTATAACCATAATAACAAACTTATTTCTATACTATTCTACGTTTCATTTTAATAAATGTATCTAAGTAACTTAACGACATTCAATTCAAATTTTAGTGTATTGTTAATACAAAAAACTTATTATAGTAGTTTTGTAAATGTAAAACGAAATAATATGCAATTAAACTGATCACTAGCCTTGTAACATGTTTGGTTTCACATTTTGTTTACGACTCCTGCGTCCCAAAGTACTCTAAACTAAAATTTCACAAAGCAAGAAATCTAAGCTTAAGTTCATCATACAATGTTATTGCAGGAACAAACCGTGTTTCATCTATTCTCAAAATATTTGACCAAGTTTCATAATTACCTAAAAGCCACTAAAATCTATTTTCTCACATGATTCTTTGACATATTAATATTAGTTAAGTAGCTTTGATAAAAATGAATTGAGTCATTCTAGTAAGCCCTCTACTAGTATAAAAGAAAGGGAAGAACAACACAACCATTGTCTAATATGCCCTATACTATAATTTTCTCAACGCAACATAGTTCACTCTTTTATACTCCGCACCACAACTCCTTTTCGCCCTTACTTCATTGACGCTCATCCTTTTAAATTATTTAGTCAAACTTCGCAATAACTTAGAAGCCACTAAAATTTATTTGGCTTAATTGCACTTTTAGTCCCCTTATTTACACATTTTTAACGTTTTAGTCCCCCTTTTAATTTTTTCGGCCTTTGGTCCCTCAAGTTGTCATTTTTAGATTTTTTTTAGTCCCCTCCTGTTTTGATTATGTGGCGCTTAAAATAATGATTTGACATGGTAAGTCAGATGCCATGTCATTTAATGAGTTGACCAATTTAATGACATGGCATGAAATTGATATTTTCATTTTTTTAATAAAATTTTAAAACTTGAATATTTTTAATTGACCGTGTTTATATAAAAGGAGCTCTAATTTCATCTTCTCATTCCCTAATTTCTTCATCTCCTTCTATAATTTCATTGACTCTCTAAGAATGCGAAATCACCATGGAAATTAAAGATCTAGCAAGAACGAAAAGCAAAAAACAAGTGAAATATTGTATGAGGTAAGTGCTTTTTTTTTACTGAAATTAGGGTTTATGGTTTTTACGCATAAAAGTGTTTCCATTTCTGAAACATGTGGTCCTTTCTTCTTGTTGTTTATTCTGAATGTGGTCCCAACAAATGTTGTTTATTCTAAATGTGGTCCCAATTAATGTTGTTTAGTTTGAATTAGGGTTTATTATAAATGTGGCCCCACATATTGATGTTTATTCTGAATCCTTGTTTCTATTACATACCAAGTCAAAATCAATGCATTAGGATACAATTTCATCTTAGAGGAAAGTTAGTGTCTGAACCTATGAAGTGGTATGTTAACGGGTAGTTTCTAAAATGAATTGGGAATGGGGTAATTCCAGCATAGGAGAGGGCAATGCAACAATTAAAATCTTTGAAGGAAGCAGCTTTGAAGGATATGTTGGATATCCTTACTCACTTATGGACCAGGTCACATTTCAAAATATACTCTAAGTGTGATCTACAAGTTAATAATATGTGTGAGGCCTTTAATAAGGCAATTCTAGAATGTAGGGATAAACCCATAGTCACTTTGTTGGAGGGTATTAAACATTACTTGACTACGAGGATTATTAGTCAAAAGGAGCTAATGAATATATACACTGATGATATTTGCCCTAGAACTCAATTGCTACTTGAAAATAACAAAAAATATGCAGAAAGTTGGACACCCACATGGCATGATGATGATGATTTTTCCATCTTTGGTGTCACCAATGACATAGATACATACTTTGTAGATCTGAAACAGCAGATATGTGCTTGCAGAAAATGGGATTTGACTGGTATTCCTTGTAGTCATCCCATATCATGTATATGGCAAAATAAGACAAACTTGAAGATTATGTCTCTGAATATTACAGGTTTGTGCATTCACCATATGTATCTACTTATTATATTTGCTTATTATAACTTAATTTCCTCTGAGATATTGTTGAATTGGTTATGCAGGAAGTCTTTTTCAATAACAATTATTCACATCTAATCTACCTTATAAGTGGGCCCCAGTTATGGCCTTTGTTGGAGGGTCAAGTACCAATCAAACCCCCAGTGCTCAGAAGGGCCATTGGTCGACCTAAGAAGCTGAGGAATAAAGTGAATGGTGAACCAAGAAATCCACATGTACTTTCTAGGAAGCTTACAACTGTGAGTTGTCATAAATGTGGTGCCATGGAACACAACAAAAGGAGTTGTAAAGGAAAAAGAGATGTTGAGAGAGTCATTCCCAAAGGTGGTAACAACAAGAAGGGCAAGACATCAAAGAATGGAAAAAGACCGAAAATTGAAACAAAATGTGGAAAGAAGACAAAGACAGATGTAACCGAAATTGGGAATTCATCACAAGCACCTCAACCTTCTCAAGATTAGTTCAAATTAGGTTTTATGTGCTTGATGTCAGTTTGTAATAGTTAGGTTTTATGACATTTTTTAGTTTGTGTCATTTTGTAATCAGCTTGTGGTTTATGTGCTTGAACAAGTCTTTGAATTTTGTGGCTTTGTTGTCCATGTATTGGAACAAGTTATTGTCTATGTAATGACTTTAATGATATCATTATGAAGTAATGTTCAATTTCTCAACTTCATTGTCAGTTAATTATGCATTATTTGAAGCAAGCATCTGCATCTATAATTGGAATATGACATGTCCTATTATTTGAAACTGACATGTCCTTTAATTGGAACATGTCATATGTAATGACTATAATTGGAACATGTACAATTTGTAAATAAGTTGAACATGTCTTATAATCTGCATCTGCTATAATAATCTGCATCTGCATCTGCTAATTCAACAATTCAACCATTCAAATACCATATAAACCATAAACATATTAAACCAAAAATCATCATTCTCATTCATCAATTCATAAGTTACACTCATATTGTTAGATTCATTACACTTGTTACAACTAAACCATAAACATACTATATCATTTTTTAACCACAACCTACTTCATTACACATGTTACGACTAAACCTAATAACAGTACAAAGCTCGTAACACATGTAAGCTTCAGTTGCATATTAACGAAATTGATCTTCATCTTCAACTCATCCTCTTTGACCCTGCATTCATTAACCTTATTCTTCTCTGAACATAATTTTTTCTTCAAAGATCTAATCATTTCTTTTGCTCCTGCAGTCAACTCTTCGTCATACCAAACAAAATGACTACATCTCTTTTGTCCCACAAGTTACAAGCAACATATGAGAAAAATAGTAAGAGATTTTCATGATTGGAGAAAGTAGAAGTGATAAATCATAGAAAAATAATATCTTATACATCCCACAACCATAAAAGCGTCGTCCTGGGTTAGAATTAGTTCATGATGTCATCAGTGGTGCATCGAGGCCGCACATTCATTCACCTCGATTTAATTTAAAGTTCGAATGGAATTTTGTGCGACTACTTACTTGGGAAAAACTAGACATGGAGAAGAAGAGGTAGAAGACGTGGAGAAGAAGGAGTAACAACAAAATTTCTAGAGAAGAAAAAAGGGACGAACACAGTGCAATTTAGGGTTCTTTATTATATCGATTATCAAACATTAATTTTTGTTTTTTAAAATATTAATGTTTTATTAAAATATATAAATGACGTGGCAACTCATTAAATAACATGACATCAGATTTATCATGTCAAATCACCATTTTGAATGTCACGTAATCAAAACAAGAGAAAGGCTAAAAAAAAATTCAAAAAATAACAACTTAAAAGACAAAAAAAAAAACTAAAAAAATTAAATAAATAAATAAAAGACAAAAACGTTAAAAATATACAATAATTAAGCTAATTTATTTTATAGAACAATCATCTATCATATTAATAGTAGTGACATAACTAAGTACAATAAAACTGGTTGGTTGATTCGGTTAAGTCATTAAAACAAATAACCAATATGTTTGAGTAGAAAAAAGTTTATAAATAAAAAAATTCCTTACTATTGAAGTCACCTCACCTCACCACACCATTTACCATCTCCACTCTCATCCCTAATAAAATACCCCACCGACCTAACCCAACCTCTGTCCTAAATCTTGTTTCTTCCAAATTACACCCACACCAGGTTCTTTCTTTCTCTCTCCCTTACTTAAATAATCACGCGTTTCTTGTACGGTAATGTTCTTCGGGATTTGATCATTATTCACTTGCTTCTTCTTACAGGACAACACGGATTCATATGCCTTTGGACCATCATCGTATTTGATTCTCCATTAATTATTGGTACTTTATTTTTTTTATTTCTTCACCACTCTTTGTATTTTTTTCCAATTAATTTATAGATATTATACATAAGGTTTGGTTTGAGATTTTGGGTTTTGAGTTCTCTGCTTTTTACCAGAAAAAATATGATTTTTTTTTGTTGCTCCGATTGGTTCTTGGTTAGATGAGTCTATGCTAAGTGAACCATGTAGACACGCAATCTTGAATGTAAACTGGTGTTTTCTGTTTAAATTCATCTGCTCTAAATTTTTACCTTGCTAGACCTAGTTTTGTGGAACTTGAATTTTTTTAACCAGATTCTTGTTTTGATTGTTTTGTTGTAAAGACAACTGTTAGAAGTTGCTTAAAGTATGTTTTTTTTTATTTGGGCTGTTAATCTTGGTCTTAATATGATTTTGGATTCTTGATTCATTATATGGGTGAGGATTGGGAATTTCTATTGGAGTTTGTCAAATTTCAATCATAGCGGGTTAGCGGGTGCATCAATAAGTGATGAACATATGTGAAGTGATGCTTGAAATCTATTGTGTGTTGATAGCTTGCATCAGCTCTGATTCTTGATCTAGTGGTTCTAATTACAATTTGGTAGCTTGTGTTAACACTTGATGGCATTTTTTTAACATTCTTAACTTTCTTCTAATTGGAAGAGAAAAAGACATTTCTTTCATAGTTCTGCAGGTCTTGTTTTTAATATTTATGGTGTAATGGTTAAGACTGTTTTGGGTCTTGTATTTCCTTTTCACTTTCTTGTAAGACGATGTTTCTGAGATTTTGTTTTGTTTAATGATGTCTCACTCATCCTGTGCAGGAAGTTCTGGTTTTCTAGTACACTGATGGCTAACCCAAGTAGCAGATCTACACCGACAATGTCCACAGACTCCTTGGAGCAGAAGGGACAAAATATTACTGAATCAAATGCAAGCATAATTCAGTGTCCTTTAAGCCAGCAACACCGTAGCTCTTTAGATGGCCCAGTTTCTATCCTTTGGGATATTGAAAATTGTCCTGTTCCGAGTGATGTACGCCCAGAAGATGTAGCTGGTAATATAAGAATGGCTCTGCAAGTGCATCCGGTAATTAAAGGAGCTGTTATGATGTTTTCTGCTTACGGGGATTTCAACGCTTTCCCCAGGCGACTTAGAGAGGGTTGTCAGAGAACTGGTGTTAAACTCATTGATGTTCCCAATGGGAGAAAAGATGCGGCTGACAAAGCGATCTTGGTTGACATGTTCTTGTTTGCTCTTGACAATCCTCCACCGTCCTCTATCATGCTAATCTCCGGAGATGTTGATTTTGCTCCAGCGCTCCACATTCTTGGTCAACGGGGATACACTGTAATTCTTGTCATCCCTGCTGGGGTTGGTGTTTCATCTGCCCTATGCAATGCTGGTAAATTTGTCTGGGACTGGCCTGTTGTAGCTCGTGGAGAAGGTTTTGTCCCTCCCTCGAAGTTGTTGGCGCAACCACGCGGAAGTTCAGTTGAGCTTGCTGGATATTTGATGGGATGCCATATCAATGATAGCTTGGATGGACAAAATGAAGAGGAAGCAATAGTTTATAGAGGGATGTCACAGAGCTATTACAACTCGAGAGAGTTTTCGCTGGTATCACAATCTCTATCTGAATATAACCCACCAAACATGTCTTACCTGCCAACATCTATGAGATCATACAGCCTTCCAACTGGATTGAATGATGTTGCTGGAGGACCTATGCCTTCTAGCGACAATACTGATTGCCAGACATGGGTACAGCCTGGAGATTTAAATGGTCTCAAGGGTCAGTTAATAAGGTTGCTCGAACTATCTGGCGGATGCCTTCCCCTGGTCCGAGCTCCAGCAGAGTACCAGAAACTTTACGGTAAGCCACTTTTTATATCTGAATATGGTGCATTTAAGTTGATTGATCTTTTCAAAAAAATGGATGATGCCATTTCCGTGGAAGGGAAAGGGGCTCGCAGATTTGTGTATCTCAGAAACAGGAAAGGAAGCACAAGCACTCCTCCATTGTCTCTTGCTAAAAAAGATAAGAAGGGAAAAGGGACACTGGAAGAGAATGCAAATGCTATCAATGGCGGCTGCTCTTCCGATGAATTGTCAGATGAAGAAAGAGTAGTCGTAGAGGAACATGATGCAAGAAATTTTACAGGAAAGCGTAATAAGGGGCGAACAGCCAGATATCAAATTGATGGCCGTGTTCTTGAGCAATTTAAGTGCGAACTGCAGGAAATTCTTGTCAGCTACTCCTGTCGGATACTTCTAAGTTGTTTCGAGGCTGTATACAAGCAACGATACAAGAAACAGTTGGAATATCAGCAATTTGGCGTGGACAAGTTGGAGGATTTGTTGGAGAAAGTCAGTGATGTGGTAGTAATGCACGAGGAACCAGTAAGCAAGAGGAAATTCCTGTCTGCAGTTGGTGGTTAGAAAACTTCAGCAAGACACAGATTGCTATTTATTTTATAACCTTTCTGGTTATAATATACATGTTTTCAGTTAATTTATTTCTTATATATTTTGTAAACATGATATGCTGGGCGTATGTGTTTTTTTATAGTCACTGGCCTGCATGTATTTGAACCTTGTAAAATTTCAGTAAGTGGGGGAATGTGTAAAACTAGTAGGCATTTTCACTTTTATATACAATTTTTACATGCATCTTGGCTTAATAAATTAATTCATGGTTTAATATCATTTTATTTATGGTTTTGCACTTGACAAGTTTAGTTGGAGCTGGTTGATT